TATTTTAAAAACTTTTTCAATAGTTTAAAAATATTATTGAAACTTTTGGAAGTGAGCATTCTCAGGGTATTGATATAAGAAATAGGGCATAATGCACATTTTATGGTAACGAAATGGGTCTGCGGGCGGCCAAGAAAATCTTAGGGATGAGACATCCGTGAGCGCTCTTGCATCGAAGATGAACAGAGCTAAGCCATTTGCCAAAGTTGGGGATGTAAAAATGCATTGGTATAGAAGCGTTCCGCTTTAGAGAAAAGCACCCACGCGAGCAATGGTGAATGAAGCGAAAGTGTCTGCACTACCCTAATTTGGCACTTGACTTAATCTGCCTTTGACGGAAACTCCTCTATTTGTTTCAGTGGGTGAAGATGTCTCGGCCAAAGTTTCGATAAAATACAAAATTAAGAGATATTTTTATTAATTTAGCGAAAATAAAGTTTATTAGCAATAAATGACAAGAAAATAAACCTAATATTTCCAAAATAAAAAATCAAATGATTATAAAATAATACCAAAATGGTCCAATTGAAAACTTTCAAACCTAAAACATAGGATTATCTAATGCGCATGAACATTAAATAAATTTCTTATGGAAATTCAAGTATGCATACATTTTGACTAAGCATATATTAAAAATATATATATACTTCAATACATTATATTTATGTAAATAAAGTACATAATATTAAAAATTCATACGAAGTTGGCTTAAAAATAATTCAAGCGTTACGTACTCAAATCAAGATTTTAAATATATATTATTTGACCAAATAATTAATTATATTTCATTAAGGGAGGTTGACGTTGATCCAATCAAAGACGCAATATTTCAGTAGCATGCAAATTATAATGACGCGTCATGATCCTATTGGACCAAATCAAATCACTGTGGTCTAATTATCAAGTTATTTTTAATTTTTAACATTATTATCTCATCAATTTTAATATTAAAATAAAAAATATTTACACCTACCCTTTTATTAATTTTGTGGAAAAATAATTTAATATTGGTGGGTTGACATTTTATTAATGTAGAGTATGGTAAAGACATTATTATAAAATGGAGAGTAGAAAATGTCACACATTCGTCTCCAACAATTGAATTCTTCTTCCATTCAAGAAATTGTCACACTAACCTAATATTTTAGTATTAATATCAAAGTCAAAGTCAAAGTCAATTAATATTCGGTATTTTTACTATACGTTTATTAATTACTTGAATATAATCTTTACATATAGTTTTAAAAATAATGATGGGTGATTTAAGAAGCTTTCGTTATTCTATTTTATTATTATTTTATTATTTTATTATTCAAGTTCACATTGTAACAACCATAAATTAAAAGTCAATTAGAATGAAAAAAAGTGGAAAGTTGGACTCTAACACAAAAAAAGCGGTCCCTAGGGTTAGTGAGTGATAACAATTGCTGGTTTATCTCACCTTCGTGATTTAAAGTCAGTGGGAGAGTCCATGTTTTGACTACTTCAATTTGGTTTTTTGGTTGATTCGGCCTGGGTATGATACGTTCAGGCTTTTTCTAACCATTTTCGACTCTTTGGGAGCTGTTTTTGTCACTTCCGGTTGTGTTTAAGGTTAGTATGACTATTGTTTAATCAATTTAAGTCATTTAGTCATTTTGAGCTAAGCTTAGATTATTTTTTGAAATTAGGTGAGCCAATTTTCATAATAGAATTCTAAATTGTGATTGTAGGACTCCTTAGGTGGAACTAGATTTCGGATGGCATCTTTAAGCTAGTATCAAGTAAGCATAATGACTTTGGCATAGGACAACCAAGTGGTTCTACGGTTGGATTCACATGGGCATGGTTAGATGACTAGCTTTCATGCATCTTGTGACCCCTAAACGTGTCATTTTTGTGATGCTATGATGTTATGATGATGCATGCACCTTCACATATCATGCCATGTATATTATGTTAGCGTGTTCACTCTATGCGTATGAGACATTGATAAGCCATGTTTGTTAACCATGAAAGACATGTCTAGTATATGTATGCATGTTTCATAAGAATACTATGCTACGAAGAGAATGCAGTTATGATTTGCATCATAAGTATATGCCATGATTTGAAATTGCGGAACCTCATGCATTTTCTATGTCACTTGTAACAGGATACTTCCCCATTATGATTAATATGGATGTGTTTACTACGATATTATACATGTCATGATATTATGCGGGCTTCTTTCTCTCTATGGCTTTCGACAGCGTGAGCGTGCACTAGCCCGTAATCAGGCTCGAGTATATGAACCTACACCTTCATTTTTTAGTATGCTTATGTCAACGTGCAACGTACACCTTCATTTTTTTAGTGGCTCAATCATAGAAATTTCAAATTTAAGTGTGCTTACTCGGAGCAATTTCATATTGGATACTGAATCTTGGGCATGAATCATTATAGAAAAATTTCAAACAATACTAGTTACGTTGTGGCCAATAAAACAACGTCGCTTGAATATAATTTCATTTATATTTGGAACTAAAAAAATAAAAACTAAGAAAATAATTAAAATTTAACGATACTTTATAGTTTAGGTTTTATTTATATTTGGAACCAGTCACGTTCACATTTGTTTGAATATAATTTCATTTTGGATCGATAGAGTATTTGTAATACATCATTAATTAGCTTTACTAGCATATGGTATGCGTATATATTATAAGAAATAATGTATATAATAGCTAATGAAAATGTTATCTTAGATCATTTATAGCGTTTTTCTTAGGCCTTGAAAGCCAACATTACTAAAATTATGCGATGTTATAATAGAGTACGAAGGTATAACGCATGTACGTTGCTATGAAAACATTTTATGACGTTTTTCTTTAATAAAACTATAATATGTTAATATTATTAGGATCACACAACTCACGCCCTCGATATTGATTTTGAATACCTATTTGTTCAATAAAACTCTCCTTCACGTACGTAATTCAGTCAACACCCATGTGTTATTATTTTCAAGTGAACTCACTCATCATTTATGGTATGCTCTCACTTAGGCTGAATCCTCCACCTGTGGGGTCTCGTCAAAGAACTTTAGTTCCCTGTATCAGTCAACAACAGACACGGTAATGAAGGTGAATACCTAATCTGGTGCTCTGCAGTGCAACCAAAAGTTATCTAGCATCTTGAATCCGAAGGGTGCGGATACCTCTCTATTGATCAAGTAAGTTGTTGTATTCACAACATTAGCTCAGAATGTCTTCGACGCTCCAAAGTGGATCTTCATACTCTTTGACTCCTCATTCAATGTTCTATCCATTCTTTTAGCAATACCATTTTGTCTTGTATTACTGGGAACTATCCTTATTAATCTAATTCTCTTAATTGCATAAAATGTTTCGAATTTTGACTAATTGAATTATACTTCATTGTCTGTCATGCCTCAGACATTTGATCTTCAAATCAGTCTGATTTTCGCGACAAATACATCTAACTTGTGTTTTAAGAAATAAACTCATACCTTACTGCTGAAATCATCAATAAAAGTGACTAGAACTTGTGAAGCTAATTCCAATCGTACTTTCTTTGATTCTTCATCAACCTTTGTGAAGCTAACTCGTTTCTATTTTTCCATAACTCAACACTCACGAAGACCCATATTAACAAATTTAAAGCCCTATAAAGCTCCTTTTACAACCAACATCTTCGTTCTTTAACACTCATATTTCTAAGTTTATTGTGTCATAGACTTGAACTAAAAGCACTCTCAGCAATTACAGTCATGTTTATATACCCTGTAGCGGTGTATAAGGTTCCAGATTTTGTGCTATGTGCTACCACGGTAGCACCCTTCACAATCTTCCATGAACTCTATTGTGTAACCTAAGTTGTCCAACTAACTAACTGAGGTTAGATTCTTGACTCAAGAAATATATCTAACACATTCCAATGCCACTGATTTATTGCTGGAGTTTGTATACAAACATTCCCAATTCTTCAATTTCCAAGACTTGTTGTCGTAGATAAATCTTTCTAAAATTTTCAAATTTAAAATTTGTGAATCAGGAATCGAGGATTCGACTTAGCTGTCCACCTAAGAATTAGAGCGTCCTAATATCTTTTCTTGAATTTACAGAATCATTATCATCTTTAGAGTAGTGATTCTATTTCTTATTTGGTTTTATGTCATATGTTAGAAAGTTTTTTTCTTGCAATTCTAATACGTTGCATTTGATTTGTTTAGAGATTTTTTTTTATTCTTTGATTTTGATCAATCCGGTTTGTTTGGACCCTTCAATTTATTTCTTCCCCTGCAATCAACACGAACACGAAGAGTACTGCTCAATGATTCTCCAATTTTTCATTTGTATCTACTTACACTGAGAACTACATCTCAAATTTCAACAAATTTAAGTTTCTCAGGTCCCCCAGTATTACCGATCACAACAATATCCCAAGACTTTCGTAAAGATGACATCAAAATCAACACTTTAATTTAATCTTCGAAATTGATTTCCACAAAACTCAATTCATTTATAAAACTCACAACCGATCCACCTTCAAAAATCTGTAAATTGTACCATCTTAGCATCAAATATACCTTATTCATAGCGGTCATCTTAGCATCTAATGTTCTCTTCCACTTGACGATGTTGAATGTCACTTTTTTGGACCAACCTCAATCAAATCAACCCTAGAGCCTGTCGGTCCTTGAGCTTTCATCGCTCTATAGATATGGAATATGGCTTCACCTTAGACAAGGGTTCGTGAAAATCTTTCTAGTAAAAATAATCTTCAACCTACATCTTCTAGAAATCAAAACCAGATGCATCGAAATTTTAGATCCTGATCCTTGAACTTTTTATCTTCATAGATCATGGTAGATGTTTCATAGCTCGCTCTGATAGTAATTGTTGAGATCACGCAACTTACCCACTCGAAGAACATGAAAACGTTTGGAAAAAAAAAATTGAAATAGACACGTGGCTTGAGTCCAAATATAAGGGGAAAAATAGAGGAAATAATGGAAATGTAAATGAGGGGAAGAACAACAAATAAGAGAAGGACCGAATTCAACGCTCCTGCTCTCTCTCTTTCTCTCAATTCCATTTCTCAATTCCTCCTTCACTTCGTCTCTCACTGTTTCAAATCCTCCGATCTCCACCGTCGCCCTACCTCCCCTGAGGCGAAGGAAACAAGGTCTCGGGGCGCTGCCATGATTACTCGGTCGAATCTGGTTGAGCAGTTGAGAGAATACCAGATTCGATCGAAGCACGAGTGGGCTTCCGTCTCCTTATTTTCATCTGCCTCCAACATTACTTCTTCCAGGTATTTCCAACCCCAATCTGTTAATTTCAACCCCCCCCCCCCCCCCCCC